TAGATTAACAATGAAAAAAAAATCCAACCCGATTGAAATTTCGAATGTCATTTAATGCAAAACGAAAAATCATCTTTATATAGCTTTAATAATTTAAGTACTGTTGAATTTTTATTATACACCAATTCTGCAAATTGATTGGCTGATTTCCGACCATTTATCATGTGATTTTCAAAACCGATAACCGATACAGAACCCGTCCACCATGCATACCGGTTTTGAGAAGGCCAACAGTACTTGGATTAATAAACGTTTTTTATATCATGAACTAAATCAACATGAATAAAATAAAATCAAGCAGTAAATATTCATGGGATTTAATAATGGTTTAATATTTAAATCAACAAATGTTTTATACTTCACATTAATCAATGCAAATAAAATGTAACTAAATAGTAAGTATTCATTTATAACTTATATTAGATGCTTGAATAAATAAATGTTCTTTATATGATGCATTAAATTGACACAAATTAAATATATAAATTAACGGTTTATTTTAAATTATTAGATTAACAGAAGTCTTTAGACTTAGAGCACTAAATCAATAGCAAATATTTATTAGATTTAATGCACAAAAATGTATAAAAAACACAATAGTTTTTACTTTAGTCTGAAATATTTTAATTTTTTGGCAGTTTGAACTCTAATTTCAGATTGCACTTGCTAGGGCGTTATAAAAAGAAATATTTTAGTGCAATGCGTACAGTGTCATTTTAAAAACTGGTAAGTTTAACTTAAATGAAATTTGATCAAACTTTTCTTAATAATTTATTAGTTGATAATTGGTTAATCAACTAGTTGATTAATCGATTAATCAGTAATCAACTAATTAATAAATCGATTGTAATCGATTATTTAAAAAATAATTGACCAACTAATCGATTGAATTTTTTGTACCGATTTGTATCACTACCCTACCCGCGTTAGAGCAACGCATAATTTTTGTGGCCTGCCGGGACGGCAGTCATAAAATAAGAGTAGGTGGTGGGATCCGTTAGGATTGTATGCTGGAAAACGTTACATGTGGCCTGTTGAGACGACAGTCACAAAATAATGATAATTTATGGCATGTCGGAACAACAGCCATAATACAAAAGAAAATGAAAAATGTACGATTCTATAAACAACTGCGTAGGTTGCTCGATAGCAGAAGGGAAATACCCGTATGTTTCTTCATAGTAATAGTTTATTCCAAAATGAGAGACAAAACAATTCATTTGTTGGTGATCGTATTGTCGGCAAATTATATTGCCGGCAGAATAAGCTTGTCTGTAAATTCTATTGTCGGTTAAATGAGCTTGTCGGTAAGTTGATTATGTCGGTAAAATTAATTGTCAGTAAAGTGTGTGTCGGTAAAATCAACTTGTCGGAAAAAACAAGCTTGTCAGTAAATCGAGTGTCGGCAAATTATTTGTCTGTAAAAAAAACTTGTTGGCAAAATGTTTGTCGGTGTAATGTTATGTCTGCAAAGTGATTTTCGGCAAAATAATACGAATACGAATCCTTGTAATAATGCACAACTACAATTATATTTATATGAAATTTTTTGTTGACAATATGAATATGCAAATTATGATGTAATCAAAGTTTTCTCAAACATTATTCTCGATACGATTATTAATAATATATTTTTATTTATCAAATATTGTCGCACTAGGTTTAGGTCTTCGTTGATATTTAATTGTTGTATTAAATGAATAAATTATTGACCAAATAGTAAAATTTGTCGTTAGCAAGCATCCGTATTTGTTATTTTTTGGACTTTCGGTATTTTTGTTTATTGTCCACAAAAACTTTTAGTATAATGAATAAAAAAAATAATTCATTGAAAGTTACATGAGTGATCCTGTTCGCAAAAAAGTTTATAAATTGAAATGACAATCTCAACGTTTTCTTTCTAATAAAAATATTTTATTCACGTAATAGACTTTATCAAATTACGTTTATTATTTAAAGATTCATCACAATGACAAACGTACTTGGCCCGCTTAAAATATTTTCCGCTAAGTAAAATTTATTCACCGACTCTTTTTGATCCATTGATTAAGACGTTTGAGAATACTTTTAGTCTCTTTATGCCTACCTAAATTAACGTGAACATAATGAAGCTAAATAGTAAATATTTAAAAATTTAATTAGCTTATTTTAAACGGTTAGATTAAAATTTTCTCTTTACTTAAACAAAAAAATAAAATTAAACACAGTAGTTAATAGAATAGCTTAACTTAACCCCTATAAATTAAAACTTGTTTTATAGTCACGCTTTAATTTAAGTGAACAAACGAACTTAAATAGTAAATATTTCATGAACTTGAATAGTTTATTCAAACATTTGTATTAAAATTTTTATTATATTTACCTGAACTAACGTAAATAAAATACTAATATAAACCTTCCACTATGCATATCGATTTTGAGAGTTTACAGCGCAGATAAGAATTTTTGAATTAACTTTGCTTAAATTTTTTTTAGTAAAACGATATTCTCGAAAACTTTAAAATAATAGTTTAATAAGACAGCAACATTATGCTTAATCATATAAGGAGGTATTGATTTTTATACTGTATTGTATTGAGTCTTCAAACTCTATAATACAGTGTCACTAGCAAACCCGTCACCGTGAGAACTTGAAGAATTTCGCGAACGATCGTTGTACAACGATGACCAAGTCCCAGACGTGAAACAACGATCTCCTGTAACCGAATGTGCAAAACCTAGTGATTTGCTCATGCGCATGGAAATTTTCGGATCACATAATTCTGGCCCGCATTAGCAGCAAGCTACCATAATGCAGGCCAGAATTCCATGCGCATGAAATTTGAAAAAAAAAGTTGATATCTGTCAAGGTAATATTACATTGTCGAGTTTAGAGTGTGGCCGTGGAAAATGATGTGTGATTGTGTCGATGGGTGGGAAATCAAGATGCGACGATAATGGTATGGACATTCTTTTGATTTGTCTTTCTTTTTCATGTGCTGAATGATTGAATAGTAAAGACTGTAATATTAGGGAAAGAGTGTTAGACTAGAAAAGGCGAACTGGCTTAAATTCAATGGCAGGATAATGACAAAAGGAAGAAGAAATAACCTTCGATATTATTATTTTCTTGCCTTGTAGTTTTGTTATAAATAAGAGGTCAATTTTCTCTTGTAAATGTAGTGCGTGCCCTACACATATTAAGCCATTAATAAAGAAAAGGCTTCATAAATAAGAACTCAACTCTCTTTAAAAAGTTTTGCCCAAATTCTGTTCAAATAAAACTCGACTCTCGCTTTAAACCTTGCCAAATCATTCTCGCCTCGAACGTCGAGTAACATTACGCCACACCTACAACTTTTAAGCGACAATTCGTCGCACTCTTTTTTTTTTTTTGTTGCGTGTTCTGACCGTTTAGCCAGTAGCAACAGTAATAAATAAAATCCCCTGAATAATTTAATATTCTCTAGTCAGTACACAGCAATAGACATGCAAAATCAAAGGTTTTATGTGCTTATTGTGAGATTGTGGCTAATTCAAGGAAGAATTTGAATTTGATACATATATAGTGATATATAGATGTGACTATTGAAGAAGGTAGCTGCGTACATACCTAATGTCGTATAACCTTCCCGGGTCGTAACAGTGAGAAAAAAACAAGATTTTTGCGATATAATAGGACTAGGGTTAGCCATTTTATTTCATATCTAATTTTGTATGACCAAGATGGTCATCATGTAATGGTAAATTTTATCAAACAAGTCATATGGTAATAGTCCAACATAGTCATAAAAGGACCTAATACTAATAAAATTGGCTTTTCTAATAAGTGTTCGAGTGTTTATATTCTTTGCGTATGAATAGCTCATTGATATCGTGTAACGTAAATTAGAACGCAGCCTATTCATTTAAATATAACTCTCACAGAGCTTTGCATGAAAGTGTAACATCTATACGAATTACCGGATTTATATATTCAGGTTCTAAATATAAGAGTCATTTTACAAAAAATAATATCCCAAAATGCTCTTGACCACTTTGCTTGATTCCGTTCCCATTTTTCCTATCAACCTTAAATATACGTGCTTTAAAAATCCACCGGGTTCTACCTATGTGGCAAAGGTGACTATACATACGACTGGAGAATTATTGTTAAAGAGTTTTCAAGATTGCATTGGACTGAACGGCTACGATCGTTATAAGCTTGTGTATCATGACAAGAACATACAGCCCGCTGATACGCTTGAAAAGTTGGGTGTCAAGGTAAATATTTTGACTATTCTATTATATCGAAATCGTTGAAAAAGAATAAATATGTATACATGATAATAATCATGGATTTTAATTTAGAAAGGTGATTTAGTCGAGGTAGTAGGTAACTACTTTAAAAAATTTAATAATTTTATTTTCAATCAGAGTTTGCATTTACACCAACTAAAGAAAAAGTTCAATGCTAATATACCTGAAAATGGATATTTTATCTAGAATTTATAAAAATCTATGTGAACATAATGAATAACAAAGCGATAGAATTAAATACAAGGAGAGATGGCACAATTAAAGATATTAAGCAAATGATTCAGGATAAAGAAGGCATCCCCACTGATCAACAACATCTTGTTTTTAATAACCAATTGTATGATGACCATACCTTGTCACGTTATGCTATCAAAGAAAATTCTACATTGTATCTAGAATATGAAGCAATAATGATCTACGTAAAATTAATGGATGAAACAATCATAAAATTGGATGTCAATAGAAGTTACACCATCGAACAGGTTACTCGTATGATCCAAGATAAAGAAGGCATTCCTTCTCATCAAATAACATATTTTACTATTGATGACGGAATTATGCATCACTATGATATCTCATCTCGCTACAACACACTTAAAACCTTAGCAAATTATGGGATTAAGAATGAGTCTACACTTAAACTATTTCATTATATTCCATTTGCTGGTTCTTTGTATGTGAAATCACTATCCGAAAAAGTGACAACTGTGCAAGTAGATTCGAATGATACCATTGAACAAGTTAAACAAAAGATCCAGGACAAAGAAGGAATTTCTCCTGATCAACAATGCCTTTTTTTTGCTGGCATGCGATTAGAAAATGAGCGTACCTTATCAGATTATTTGATCCCAAAGGAGGCTACTGTTCATCTTGTAATTAAAGAAATCAGTACTCACAAAGAATCGTCTGGTTCATATGAGATTTTTGTGAAAACACTAACCGGAAAAACAATAACTCTACAAGTAGAATCAAACAACACCATTGAACAAGTTAAACAAAAGATCCAGGACAAGGAAGGAATCCCTCCTGATCAACAACGCCTTGTTTTTGCTGGCAAGCAATTAGAAGATGGGAAAACTTTGGCAGATGATAATATTAAAAAGGAGTATACTCTTCATCTTGTGCTTAGATTACGTGGTGGAATGCTTCAGGAAACCAGTGGTCGCATAGAATTTGACGCACTGCCACCACTCACTCAATATACTCTAACGCCTGAAGAACGTTTACAAAATGGAATTCATGCTGGTATTGCCTGTAATTATTGTGGTGAACGTGAATGGAAAGGAACAAGGTTAATATCCATTGTATTTAATGAGCTTAAAGATATTCCAGTTTATTCATTAATATATAAATTTTTTCACTATTTACAGATATAAATGTTCTGAATGTTCTGATTATGACTTGTGCTTTGATTGTATCACAATGTCCTACCTAATTCATAACGTGCAACATTCTTTTCTGAAAATATTGAATCCCTTAGACCCAAAGAATGTTTCAAAAGATACTCCTATTGCTTATGTTACCCCAATACTACCAGACACGAAAGAGAAATTATTAGCTCTGCTACGCGAAGAAGAACGGCGAAGATTTTCACCTGAAATTCAAAAAAAATATTATGATGTTGGGAGCGATCCTACAAGTGGAAAGGATTGGATGGATGTTACTGATCAGATGCAGCATGAGTTGGTTCGAGAATTCGGATATTCAGATGAAGCAGTACAAATGTTGCGGCGTGCACCACAACTTTATCCAGGTAAGTAATATACTCTTTTTGTTTATGTAAATGTTATTTAATTTTAATATCTCTTTCTTCCCATCACATCAAGATGATCCTGAATTTCGTACAACTCAAGTATATGTTCGCAATAATATTGCCAACATTGGAAATCTCACTGAAGGAATGCTAGCACCTGATTGTCCATTAGTTCCATTAGATTCTTCAATTTTTACGTCAATAATTGATAACAGTACCCCTGATTTACCAAATTTAGTTCATTTACGTTCGCTTTGTAAATCAGGACGGCCTCTAGTTCTTATGGGTGGATCGTATACTTGTCCTTTATACCGATGCATATCTCATGTGCTCAATGATATATATAATCGATATAAAGCGGATGTAGATTTTTATTTGATTCAAATTAAAGAAGCACATGCTTCTGATGTTTGGCCTATTGGCAACATTGTCGATGTCAAGGAGCATCACACATTATCTGACCGTTTGGCTGCTGCACGTGAGATGGCAACAAAAACCAAATTGGAAATTCCTGTACTAGCAGACACAATGAATGATACTTTCTTAAAATTATATTCACCATGGCCATTCCGATTTTTTGTAGTTGTTGATGGAACTTTGAAACTTGTTGGAATGCCAAAAGATGCGCGTTATGATACAACAGATCTAGTTGAATGCTTAGATGATCTTTTACGCGATAAAAAAGACCTACATTAATTGTTTCTATGATGTTTTTAGGGCATTGAATTTACTTTTTATCGCTATTTTTGATTTGTTTTTTTTTTATTTTTATATTTGAATTTATTTATTGCTTATCGTAGAAATGACATGGTGGAAATAGCAAATTTCTATGGTGAAAAATAGGCTTCCTTTTTTTATTGTCATGTTTATTTCATTTTATTTAACATTATTTTTTTTACTATGTTCTTGAGCGGATAGTCATTAGTCACAATGTACAATTTTGGAACTTTAAAAATGTAAAATTCCTTAATGCTACGAGATTATGAAGCTTAAATGATTTAGTATAATGTAATAACATTCTTAAAAATGTTGAATAAAAGATCCATACAGAAACAAGCTTTAAGTTAGTAAATTCTTCAAAAATACTAGGTTATAACGTTGCGTTGCTCGAATTTGCTATTTGGTTTTGTTTAGAATTTAAATGCAAAAATACTTATTAAGTAATTGAGATTTAAATCAGCGTTCTCAAGTGATTTTTAAATGACCGAATGTCCAAATTATGTTTTACTAAGTAACTAATAGTATTGTATATTATTGACCAGCATAATAAACTCTATTGATCATTCTAAGTTCAAATGACTTTAAAATGACTTTTAAATGACTTAAAAAATTCATTTCAAAATGCAATTGATCTGTGATTTAAATTCATAAATACAGTAAGCGATAAAAGAATTTTCCAATTTAAGATCTTTTACCAAAAAGAGAAATGATCTGCGTTACACGAATTTGAAAAATCCCTGACTGAAATATTCATTTAGCATTAGTCTAAATACTTAAAATCATCAACGCTTAACTTATTTTCTTGCTAATAGGGTGATTCAGAATAAATTTATTTCGAAAATAAATGATAATTTAAAAACTCGAGTGTTGCTAACTTGCCCCCTGGTGACGTTAACCACCTATGATTTACCAATCAGATTGCAGGATCTTGTGTAACAAAATAAAGAAATTTTTTGAAAAAATTATCAATATCGTAAAATTTTATTATAAAAACTAGCTTTAGGCTATTAAGTAAAAGTTTTTAGCACCTATTTTTGCATATAAATAACCTATATGCTAACTTAATATAGCCTATACCCTAACCCTAATCTTTAAATAATAATTTATTTATATAAAAAATTCTATAAAAATAAAGGGTGGTTAAAATTTATAATTAAGTATTTCTATTTGTACACTAGTGCGTACACACATTGTTACACCAAATCATTAGAAAAGCCAATTAAAATTTAAGATCAGGTGTAACATGTAGATCATTTTTTCATGTAACAAAACAAACTTTTTAGTGAAAAAATCAAAAAATCCAAATATCTCAAAATTTCACATATGAAACCACCTTTGGTGTTCTAATTAAAAAAATTCCTTGCTAAATTTTGCATATAACTATATTCTTGCTAAAATCCCAAGTCTTGCCCTAACCCTAAAGTTAAAGAAATTAAATTTTTTTAATAAAAATTTGTTTGTTTATTTTATTACACGTATACAAACACATGTGTATGTTTAGAAATTTTCTTTATAATTTTAACCAATAGTTAAAATTAGTTAAATTCTAAAAACTTTTATTTTTGTTTTGAAATTCTGAAATCAGAAAACAAATATAAAAAAAAATTTTTAAGATATATTATCATTATATAAAATAGATTGGATTTGCAGATGGTTTATTTCTAAACAAATACACACCAATTTTATTTAAAATCAGAAATCTGATTATTAATTCTGAATTACACTAATTTTTGGATTGTATTATCAGTCAGAATTATAAAGTACTTGTAATTAAATTAAATAATAGTTTTTATAAAAAAAAAAACATGTAAAATGCATTACTTGAAACATTAATTTTTGTAATACTATCAAAAAGCATTTTTATAAGGTGTCCTTCAGGACTGAGCTTTATTGATGTTTTATTTGTAATTGGATTGCAGGGATCATACATATAGTATTTACAATGAGAGTACAACAAGCCACATATAAAACTTTAGGTTGCCTATTTAAATAATCTATCTGAAGGTTCTACACTAGTTGCTATATCTGCAATCTGCTTGGATATTACCTATTTAAACTCTCTGATCATCAATACCTATCAATTATTTTAGACCAGGCATCTTTATACCAGAGTGCCTCCAACTATCTTATCTGAACTTGGTTATTTTGTTGGATGCTTATGGGTCTCCACAAGTGAGTGTAGTAGCTATCCTAATTCTTTTATGTCTCATACATTTCTAAATTAGGTTCAAAAAATCTATCTGTTTTATCTAAAACCAGCTAGAGTTAATCATTAAACTACACAATTCCTGATTCTCCTGCCTTTACAAGGTTTATTCTAATTCTGATACCTATGTCTATCTTCCTTCTGGTTTTTATATTGATTCTTTCCAAACTTTCAAACCAATTAATCAATTAGGTTGATATATCTAAGCTTTAGGTGTCTCTGGTTTTTAATTTTATAGCATAGTATCTTTTCCTTTAGTGTAATTTTGGTAGTTAGGTTGGTGAACTCTTCTTGCTTCAGGATTATTTTATTTGGTTCTTCAGTTTTCAGTTTCTGGAATACTAATTTTTGCATTATTATCAAAGATCTTTACTATCTTTTTGCTTAGAACTTACTAAATAGGTTTCAATTATTCTAGTTTCTTGGCTTTTTTATGTAATATTACACAATTTTACTTAAAGCTTTTATTTAAAATATTGGTACAAAGGTTACAGATGATATATCTAATTGATTATTAAATAAATATTACCAAACCAAATCTTATTTTTCAAAATCATCATCAGTAGGATTTATATTTAAGATCTGCTATTTGGAGATGTGACAACTTACCAACTTTACTATATTAGCACACCTTATTATTAAAATTAAAATTAGTCTTATTATATAAATAAAATATAATAAAATATAAAATCTTAATCTTTGATACTATTAGCTAGTGATTATAATAATACACAACTATAATTATATTTATATAAAATATTTTATTGATAATATGAATATGCAAATTATAATATACTATAATCAAAGTTTTTCAAATATAATTCTTAATATAATTATGAGATAATTTATATATCCATATGCAACGTTGTTGCCCCATAAGATCAGGTGTAATATAAATCAAAACAACAAAAATAAACTGAATTATTTCATATAGTTAGGATTAGGGTTAGGTTGGGTTAGAGTATGGGCAAAAATAAGGCCTTATAGTAAAATTTTTGAGGAATTTTTTTTGTTAAAGCACAAAAGATGGTTTCATATGTGAAATTTTGAGTTATAGGCGATTTTGCAAAACAAACATTTGTTTTGAATTTTTTGATCATATAACGTTACACCTGATCTTAAAATTTGATTAAAAGAGCGATATATAAAGTGCATTGCATGATGCAATAAATAAATTTACTCTATAATTATTTAGCAATCAAAATTAAATTTACTAAGCAATTTATTCTTTTTTTTATTTATTAAATATTATTACTACTAACACTAGAAGATCTAGTTCTCGAGGGCAAAAAAACCATATACTACTTAACCAGCATTTACCTTTATTCTTATGAAAACTCTGTGGGGAAAGTGATTGAAAACGATTAGAAAAGATTTTCTACTAGAAACACTCTAAACGAAGAAATTTTATTACTAAACATGGGTACCTTTGGTTTAACTTATTATGGGTAAACAGATAGTGAAATTTCCGGGTTTTAAACTACAACGACATATCAAATTTTCAATTGTCCATATAAATAGTTTGTGTAACAATGATTTCTGATACGAGTTATTGCTATGCTTATACAATCACCACATTAGGGCGCGACGGACTTGGTGATTATATAGAGGTCTGACTGTAGTTTAATAAGATAACAACACTAATGCTTAATCATATAAAGAGATATTGATTTTTATACTGTATCGTATTAAGTCTTCAAACTCTATAATACAGTATTACTGGCAAACCCGCCACTCCGAAACCTTGAAGAATTTCGCGAACGATCGTTGTACAACGATGCCCCAGACCCAGACGTGAAACGACGATCTCCTGCAACCGAATGTGCAAAGCCTAGTGATATGCTCATGCGCATGAGAATATTTAGAAATTTTCGGAATATTTCGGAATATCAGAAGTTACCATAATGCGAATTCCATGCGCGTGAAATTTGAATTTGCCCATCACTAGCAAAGCCCCTCACTGGATTAATGACGCCGACGATTTTGGAATCCACTTACCATTTCGAGTTGACATCTGTCAAGGTAATATTACATTGTCGAGTTTAGAGTGTGTCCGTGAAAAATAATGTGTGATTGTGTCGATGAGTGGGAAATAAAGATGCGACGATAGTATGGACGTTCTTTTGATTTGTCTTCTTTTTCGTGTGCGGAATGATTGAATAATAAAGACTGTAATATTAGGGAAAGAGTGTTAGACTAGAAAAGGCGAACTTGCTTAAATTTAATGGCAGGATAATGACAAAAGGAAGCCTTGTAGTTTTGTTATAAATAAGAGGTCAATTTTCTCTTGTAAATGTAGTGCGTGCCCTACACATATTAAGTCATTGATAAAGAAAAAGCCTCATAAATAAGAACTCAACTCTCTTTAAAAAGTTTTGCCCTAAAATTCTGTTCAAATAAAACTCGAATTTCGTCTTAAACCTTGCCAAATCATTCTCGCCTCGAACGTCGAGTACCATTACGCCACCCCTACAAATTTTAAGCCGCACTCTTTTTTTTTTTTGGTGTGTGTTCTGACCGTTTAGCCAGAAACAACAGTAATAAATAAAATCTCCACAATAATTTAGTATTTTCTAGTACAGTACACAGCAATAGACATGCAAAAATCAGAGGTTTTATGTGTTCATTGTGGAATTGTGGCTAATACAAGGAAGAGTTTGATACATATATAGTGATATGAGTGTCGCTAAAGAAAACCCGGAAATTTAAATATGATTTATATTTAAATTTTCGGGTTTTCTTTTAGCGACACTCATATATAGTGACTATC